AAGTTATACCAATGAAATGTCTGTTGGAATTTTTAGTGGAATACTTGCCTTCAGATTTTTCATTGCAATATAGTAATTTTTTGTATTTCTTCTTAAACATTAAAATTTTTACATAGTAGTTTTTTTTAGTCCATACTTTTTTCAAAAATTACTCATTATTTTATCTCTAGATTACCCATTAGTTTCTCACTTGAGTTACATATTGTACATATTAATTATTAAATAATGAAAATTATTATTATTTTACATATGTAATATGATATATATATATTATATTCCAAAACTAATAGCAAAAGAAAAAAGTTAAAAATTAGAATAATCAATTTTATTTAAAAAAAAAAGTTAAACAATTTTAACCTACATGAATTAAAATACAAATAACTATTATCTATCACCTAAAACTTCCACATATAAGTAATAAGCACAAAAAATTAATAAGCGTTTAATAACTCAACTCATTTACATCGATAAATACAAGTTTTAAAAGTTTATATTTACTTTCATAAATTATAAGAACTTTTATTTATTACGTTTTTCATTATTGAAGTGTTCTTCTTCCCACTCTTTTTGAATATCTTATTTTCTTTAAAATGTCTTCTTCAAAAGGGCCAAAATACTCGAAACCCGAAGATTTCGTAATTGTGAGATGCTACATAAGTGTTTCACAGAATCCAATATCATCAAAGGACCAAAGTTCTTCAACCTTTTGAAAAAAAATACATGATGAATACAACTCCAAAAAACACAAGGATTTACCAGAACGCTCTATAAGGTCTCTTGAATCTCGTTACCGTCTCACTGAAACTCATTGTCGGAGGTTTAATGGATGCTTGAAGCAAATCGAATATCGCAATCCTAGTGCGACACAAATCCAAGATAGGGTGAGAACATTGTTTTAAGTTCAATCTCGGTTCATGTTATTTTCTTGTTTTATAGGTATACTTACAATTATATATTTTTTACTTTGTTTGTAGATTGAACAAGCCGAACAATTGTTTGAACAAGACCCAAAATATAAAGATGGCTTCAAGTTCCAACATGTGTTCCGACTATTCAAAGAGTTTGGATAATTTGATGATAATGTCTCCCAACCACGATCTCGTCGTCGGGATTTCGATACACTCAATGACTCTTCCGAGTCCGACGTTCCATATGATGGACAACCAATACCAGAGTCTCCGGGATTGTCGTCTTTTAGTCCTCAACAAAGTGACGATGGTGTTGGTGGAACATCCTCTCAACGTCCAATGGGAGCGAACAAAGCAAAATTGAAGAAGAAAAATGAAGACCAATTTTGCAAGTATTTTAATACTCTAAATGCTAAAAGTGATAGTATTGTTGATTTGTTGTAGAAGGCCGAAGAACGTCAAAGTGTCCAACTTTAATTGCAGAAACAACAACTTGATTTGCAGAAAAAGAGGGATGTAGATAAAATTTTGATGATAGATTTGAATACCCTAACGAATCCCATGATCCGTCGACATTGGGAACAAAGACAAAAGCAAATTTTACAAGAAAGAGAATTTGAGCAACAACAATCTCAAGCAACACCACCATCATCTAACACGGATCAATTTGGATTTCTCGACGACATCGGGCATGCCGGAGGAAATTTGAATGATTATTATGGTGACAATTAAGTCTATTAAATCGTCTATTTTATAATCCTTTTTAGTTATTATGTTCCTTATTAATTATCGTTGTTGTACTATGTGTGAGCTTTAAGATGAGTTTTTTAGTTTATTTTTATGTTTTGATTTTAATTTTAGCGTTTGTACCGTTAATTTAAAGTGAGTTGAATGTTTATCCTTATTTTGTAATTTTAACTTGTTTTTTTGTAATATTTACTTAAGAGAATTTAAATACTAATTAATATTCTATCATAATAATTAATAAATTATTCAATTTTTCATTACACTAGTTTAAAACATGTATAAAGATATTTGAATTCAACTCATAAAACTAATTAATCCAATTAACCGAATTGTAATTAAAAAGCCCAACCCAAATACATCTAAATGGGCTAAAAATACAACCCAATTTCATTTTTAACAAAAAAAAAAAAAGAAAAGATGAAGCGGGTGAACAGTGGAACGGTTGCCAAACCGTTCCACATAATTAGGCATGCCGTTTCCGCCAGATGAAGAGAGTGGGTTGGAGAGGATTTTCCTCCACAGTTTCTGTTTCCGCCAGATATCCAGTGTGGGTTGGAGATGCTCTTAGAGCATCTCCAACCATATTCTCTATACATACAGTTTCTACAGTAAAATCCCACTAGTTTTACAGTATCAACAATGTCAGCAACTCCAATCCATTCCCTCTATAATTCCCCTCTAAAAGAATATTCCAAGCATATTCTTTTCTAATTTTATTAGTTTATTAAATAATCTCTACAAATTACATTTTAATGCATTATGCTTGCTAAAATATACATATCTATGAATATATATTAATTATTGATTAATAAGATTAATTAATAAATTTAAATCAACATCATAAAATTACACACTGCATCATAAAAACCACGTGGATTACATCACAAACATTAATTTAAAAAAAAAACATCAACATAAACATGAAGCATTCAATACAATAAGAAATACGGAAAACAAAACACAACACTAGTTATTGCCATGAGAATATTTTTTCCACAAATGTGCAACCAATGCACTACGAAGTTCATAGTGGGCAAACTTATCCTTGATTCGTTTGTGTCGAGCAAGAAATTGTTGAAAAGAGACGTGATTTCGCGGTGCTGGAGTAACCGTATAAGCACCAAATTGAACATCACTTCTAATTGGTGCACTAAGATCACGTTGCTCTTCGACATTCATATTGTGCAAAATAATACATGTTTTCATTATATCATTAAGCACCTTTTTTTTCCAAAAACGAACAGGACCTGCGACGATTGCAAACCTTTTTTGCAGAACTCCAAATGCACGCTCAACATCTTTTCTACATGTCTCTTTTCTCACTTTAAAGTATTCCTCCATTGGATTTGATGGTAAAATTGCATTTTTTGTCCTGCTGCTTTGGCCTCGTGGCATTTTTAGTCCTGAGATTGGACCAATTTCCTATTTAGTCCCGTAACTTCGAAAGTTAACGCAATTTTAGTCCTTCCGGCGACCAAAAGTCAACATTGCGGTTGGATTTATCACGTGGCCCGCACGTGATGCCCTCGTAGCCGATCTCCTCTGACATGGCAAGCCTGGACGCGGACGTGACAACCAAATGAAATAAAAAAAAATAGAAAAAAAAATTTCCACGCGGCATTAAAAAATAGAAAAATAAATTAAAAAAATAGAAAATAACAAAAGGGGATCGACTCTCACACTCACACACACTTAAAATCCCCAAATTCATCGTCGTCCCCTCAAGAACCCTAAATTCCCAAACCCAAACCAAGAACCCTAATCCCCAGATTTACCAAATTCGCAAATAAATGTCGTCGAACTCATATGTAAGGGATCATAGGTACTGCTATTGCGGTGAAAGGCCAGTCATTCGAACCTCTTGGACATCGGACAATCCCGGCCGCCAATTTCGTTCTTGCATTGAGTACGAGGTAAGTGGATATTGTTTTCCAATTCTTTTGTGGTTCATTTTTTTTTTTTTGGGCAAATTTGTTCTTATTTTTCTTTGTATATATGTAGGGAGAAGAAAACCCAGGGTGTAATTTTTTCTCTTGGGTTGATCCTCCTATGTGTAGAAGGTCCAAGGAAATTATTCCTGGATTGTTGTGAAAATCAAATGTTTTGCGTGCTGAGAATGAAGAATTGCGAGAGGAAAACATTAGATTGGTTGAATGCAAGAAGAAGCTGGAGTTAGAGATGTCGGATTGGCAAAGGGAGTTGAAGCCCGTGGAAATGATTCCTGGATTGTACAAAAATCAAATGAGTTGCGTGCTGAGATTGAAGAATTGTGAGAGAAAAATATTAGATTGGTTGAATGCAAGAAGAAGCTGGAGTTAGAGATCTCGGATTTGCAAAAAGAGTTGAAGTCTGCTAAAAAGGCCAAATTTTGGTTGCTCATGGGGGTTGTGACTCTGTTTCTGTACATGTTCTTAAAGAACAATTGATCTGACCGAGTCTATGAAGAAGAAAATGATAGTGTTGGACTAGCTTTGTTATGTTTGAACTTCTTGTTTGTTAATAGCCTAATGTTGTGACTGTTTTCGAACAATTGTTGAATTATTGTGTTTGAATTCACTTTTGTTGTAATGAAAGTATGTTATGTGTTATTGTATGTTGTGTGTTATTGAACGTTAATGACTGTTGTTTTGTTGTTGAATGTTGGCATGGTGTTCATGGTTAGCAGTTACTAATGAATGTTAAGGGTGTTTCAATTCACTTTTGCTTTGTTTATGGCAAACACAATGTAACTTCTCACCATATTTGACAGACACTGAGAGTGCTGAACTATTTATACAGACAAAGATTTCTAACCAAATCTCTTTTGTTTTTTCTTGTGCATTTTCAGTACAAATCTTGTGTTTGTGTACAAATCTTGTGCATTTTGAGTACAAATCTTGTGCGGGTAGGAAATCTTGTGCATTTTGAGTACAAATCTCTTTTCTTTTTTCTCCTTGTTTGGGAGATGGGATATCACAGCCACCCCCTTTAACTACTAATAAATAGGAATTGAATGCTAATGGTACATGACCTAAAAACCACTGATAATTTCATAACCTAAAAACCATCCATTAACATGCTTTAACTTGAATGAACACATTAATTTCATAAGTTGAATTACAAAACATCCATAAACCTGTTTTACTGCCATAATCCAAAATCCAAATTTCACCATTTTCACCATTACACATCAAAATGCAAAAACCATCCAAAAACCATCATCCAAAACTATACAAAACCATCCAAAAAACACCACAGTTTGAATTACCATCCAAAAGCATCCTAAACCATCAAAAACCATCAAAACACACCACAGTTTCAACAGTTTCAATGACCATCAACAATTTCCAACAAATACAAACACTTTTAGTTTTCATCTCTTGATTGCATTGAACTCTGCAGCTGTTGGTAAGGGGTAGACCCGGGCTGATTGGAAACTTTAGGGATTTCATACTCATCAATGAGTTCACACAATGACTGCAGCTCCTCATCTTCTTCTTCATGGCTTATGACTGATGACAAAAGTGTAGGATTCTGAAAAAATGATTGAATTGAAGTTAAATTTCAATATGGTTAGAAACAATTGGTTTCAGAAGTCAATTTGTTATACACAAATGGATAATTAAATGAGTGTAATGAACACTTACTTGTGAGGATTGTTCTGTCCCAACTGTGGCGCCTTCTTTGGCCTTTTCCTTTTACCTCTGTCAGTAGCAGCTTTTACTCTTTTCCTTTCAAGCTATAGAATAAACATAGAATAAAGTGAAGTCACATAAACATGGAATAAAAAATAAGAAAACATAACTTATAACAGAAAACTTACAATTGTATCAAAAGCCCTTTTCAATGGAGAGTTGTCCACTTCTTGAGTTACTTGACTTTGGTTTTGGTTAGAGTGTTCATTTCTTTCTCCTTTCTTTTCTCACAAGACCTTACATTGTGGCCAGCCATGCCACACTTTTTGCACCTCACAGTTGGCTGTTGCCTCTTCATTTTCATTGGTTGTTTCCCTCTCCTCTTTTTCCCTTTCTTTTTAGGCTCTTCTTGATCTCTTCTTCTTGCCTTTAAAGGCCTGCTAGCACCCCTCCCAAAGTTGGGAGGTAAAGGAGGAACAAAAAGGGTCTGTCTCCACAATGAAGGACCATTTGTGCCTAGTATTGACCCCCTATACACATTCCTATAATACTCTTGTGAATAACAACTATCTACAAAGTCAACAGGCACCAGCTTTTGAGCTATTATGGCACTACATGCATGCTTACAAGGAATGTCCCCCAAATCCCATACCCTACAGCTGCAAATTTTCTTCTCAAAATCAACAGTAAACTGTGATCCATCATAACAATTAATCTGATAGTGCCTATCATCACATTTAATTGGCATGCAGTCAGATACATGTGACAAGTGTTTTTGAAGGATCAAGTTTATGTTAGGGCAAATTTTGTTCTTCCACTTCAACTCTGCCTTATCTCTTTTTTTCTGCATCTTAATGCATATGTACTCTCTAACCCACTCAAGCATAGTGATAATGGGCTTTTCCCTTGCTTCAAGAATGTTGGAGTTAAATGTTTCACACACATTATTGAGCAACATGTCACACTTTGGCAGTTCAGAGAAAAAAGCTCTTGACCAATGCTGTGGTGGTTTATCAAGAAACCAATTAAAAGCATCAGGACTCATCTTTTTGATTTCAAGCATTCTTGTATTAAACTCAGCAATAGTGGTTGCTTGTGCTGCTCTCCACACAGCAAACTTATAGGCCAAACCCCTAAACCCAGCCTTCAAAAAATTGTTGTGAAGGTCCCTCACACAGAACCTGTGAGTAGCCCCAGGGAAGACAACATCAAAGGCTTTGATAAGCCCCTTCTGCTTATCAGAAATGACGGTATACTGCTCAGGCCTAGAAATGCCTAAATCTATCTTCAGAATTATGAGAAACCACTCCCATGTTTCAAAACACTCAATCCCTACTACAGCAAAGGCAATGGGAAACAATGTGTTGTTTGGGTCTACACCTGCTGCAGTCAAGAGTATCCAGCCATCTACACCCACAATTGGCCTACACCCATTCTTGAACCCCTCTCTAAGAGCATTAAAACAAACATAAAATTTGCTGAATCTCTCCTCATCATCAAACTTCTCAGTGGCAAGAACAACAGTTGACCCAGGGTTTGAAGTTCTCAACTCCTCTGCATAATCCCACAATTTGGAATACTGATCATCAGGCTCTCCTTCAAGTTGTGCCAGGGCTCTTCTCTTAGCCCTATAGGTCTGATCCTTTGATATATTAACATTAAGATTGTTAATAATATCAAGTCTCTAGCCTTTAACACTTCTTTTAGGATCAGTTTGAAAATGGCTTAAGAATTTTTCACTTAGCCACTTTGATTTGATGTTTTTAACCTCAAAAGTTTCAGAGCAGGAGTGAATGGTGTTGTATTCCCTAATTTGGAAACTAGCTTCATCCTTCATTTTCAATAGGTTTATCTTCCAATTACACTCTTCATCTGCACATCTCACATACACCCTTATCTTATCATTCTTTTCTGTCTTAAGGTTTCTGTTGGTTTTAATTGAATGTGATTGGATGGCTTTTCTAAATTCTTCTTTAGTTGCAAACACCATTCCAATATCAAATACAGGATCCCACACTTGGTTAGAATTAAACATAGGAGGATCAACATCTTCATATCACTACCCCTCAGTTCATCTAAATCATCAGGAACCTCAACCACATCATCATCACTATCAGTACTAGAATCACCATCTTCCCCCCCACTAGCCCCTGCATCCACATTCTCACTAAACAATGCATCGTCATCATCACTGCTACTATTTCTGAAATCATAATCACTATCAAGAAAATCATCCTCATCTTCTTGCCTCTCTTGTTCACTCTGTTCATTTTCATTTTCTTCAACATCTAAATTCTCACCAACAAAATTCCCACTCTCATGTTCAATATTTTCATTCTCACAAACACCACCCTTCCCACTCTCAGAACCATTGCCCTTCCCACTCTCATTTTTACTTTTTTTCACTCTCAGAACCACTAACCTTCCCACTCTCATTTTTATTTTTTTCACTCTCATTTTCACTCTCAGCACCACTCTCAGAACCACTCTCAGACTCACTCCCACTCTCATAATCAGAGTCAAAATTAATCCATCCCCCATCCATGGACAAACTAGAAGGACTGAATGTACCTTCATTTTCAACATATAAAGTCATTTCTCTACAACCATATTTATGATATAAAGCCCTTATTTTAATGTCTTCAGCATCAAGCAGTGGCTGGAAAGCCAAACCAATCAATAAGAAGTACTTCCTACTACCAACAACACCAAATTTGTCAGACATTTTCTTCAATGTAGAATTATTCAAGGACCTCATATGGACAAAATCAAATGTCATTTTAGACCCTCCTTGATAACAGACAAAACCTTCTGTTTGAAATGTTCCACCACACCACATAGTTACTGTAAACAACTCACCACTACGATCTATGGAGAACAGACCCAAAAAAACAAACAATCAAAGAAACAAGACAAAGAAACAAACACAGAGAGTTTGTCAGGAACCAAAAAAAAAAAAAAACAGAAATACAAAAACAAAAGAAACAAACAGGGGTATCAATGAAAAAGGAAAAATTGCATTAAACTCACCGTATTCAGGGATGTCTGCGTCCCAATATTCCTTTGACCTAATCCGTATGGACTTCACCATCTTCGCGTTCGTTCAATCAACCTTCTCACCCAATCGGCCTTTATCTCATCGTCGTCTCTCTGAAAATCGTTTCTCTCTGGAATCTTCTCTCAAGAACGCCTTTCTTCGAATTTCTCTCTTCTCTCTGGAAAAAACCTGATTGAATGAAAATTAGGGTTTTAATCTTCTGAAATAACGTTTCATCTGCCAATTTTCCCACCATTAATAATTGATTACGTGTTATTTTCTGTTTTTTTAATTTATTTTTCTATTTTTTAATGCCGCGTGGAATTTTTTTTTTCTTTTTTTTTTTATTTCATTTGGTTGCCACATCCGCGTCCAGGCTTGCCATGTCAGAGGAGATCGGCCACGAGGGCGTCACGTGTGGGCCACGTGACAACCGACCGCAATGTTGACTTTTGGTCGCCGGAAGGACTAAAATTGCGTTGACTTTCGAAGTTACAGGACTAAATAGGAAATTGCTCCGGTCTCAGGACTAAAAATGCCACGAGGCCAAAGCAGCAGGACCAAAAATACAATTTTGCCGAAAACAAAATACAACACTAGTTATTGCCATGATAATATTTTTCCCACAAATGTGCAACCAATACATTACGAAGTTCATAGTGGGCAGACTTATCCTTGATTCGTTTGTGTCGAGCAAGAAATTGTTGAAAAGAGACGTGATCTCGCGGTGCTGGAGTAACCCTATGAGCACCAAATTGAACATCACTTCTAATTGGAGCACTAAGATCATGTTGCTCTTCGACATTCATATTGTGCAAAATAATACATGTTTTCATTATATCAATAAGCACCTCTTTTTTCCAAAAACGAACAGGACCCGAGACGATTGCAAACCTTTTTTGCAGAACTCCAAATGCACGCCCAACATCTTTTCTACATGCCTCTTGTCTCATTTTAAGGTATTCCTCCATTGGATTTGATGGTGCAACAAAAGACTGAACAATAGTGGACCATTTTGGATATATACCATCTGCTAAATAATAGCCCATATTAAACTGTTTACCTTGAATGGTGTAATTAGCTGGTGGAGCGATACATTCAGCAAGATTTGACATTAAAGGTGACGCTTCCAGCGCATTAATGTTATTATTCGCACCTGGCATACCAAAATATGCGTGCCATATCCATAGATCATGATCTGCCACAGCTTCCAAAATGATTGTTGGCTTTCCGAAACGTCCAGCGTATTGACCAGCCCATGCCTTAGGGCAATTCTCCCATTCCCAGTGCATGCAGTCCAAGCTACCTAACATCCCTGGAAAACCACGTTGTTCACCAATATGAAGCAATCTAGTGATATCATCGTGATTTAGTGATCTCAGATATTGTGCTCCGAAAACTTCAACGACTCCACGGCAGAATCTCTTTACGCATTCATTGGCCGTTGACTCAGCAGTCTTAAGATATTCATCAACACAATCTGCTGGAGTTTTATAGGCCAACTGACGAAGCGCCGCTGTCCTTTTTGTATATGTTGACAATCCAAGTCGACCAAGACCATCCCGACGTTGCTGGAAAAAATTATCATGATTTTCCAATGCTCGCATAACACGTTTGAAATTATGAATAAAAATCCGAAACTTTCGACGAAACGTATCTTCATCGTAGGTTGGATTACTACTAAAATAATCTCGAAACAGAGTGCGATGGGCCTCCTCCCGATCACGATGGACTACTCTATGTCCCAGAACAGAACCTCCCCAAGTTGGTTGGCTACTTTGCACGGAGAGAGCATGTGCCATAAAAAAATTATTGGTTTGCAATATATGAGTGGTGGTTGATTCCAAAGTGTTATCAAAAAGAGGCAATGAAGCATTTGCATCTTCCTCATCAGAATCATAATTATAAGGAGGAAGATAATTCATTGTGAATGATATTAGAGGGAAATATTACAGAAATATTTGATAATGAATGTAATATGTAGCTTGGATGATATGATGTATAGTTTCATGTTTATATAGACGAATGAATGAATAAAAGAAATAAATGTTTTCTTCATTGGATTCCTTTTCAGACAATGCCACGTGAAAGAAATTTGACCAACACAATGCAAATGCAATAATTTCGGACAAGACCATGTGATCATTATTACACTTCATTATTGTTGGCCAATGCCATGTGATCCTTGGATTGGATTCTAACCATTGGATTCCTTTTCAGACAATGCCATGTGTAAAAAAAAATTGACCAACACAATGTCAAATGCAATAATCTCGGATAAGGCCATGTGATCTTTATTACACTACATTATTGTTGGACAATGCCATGTGATCCTTGGATTGGATTCTAACCATTGGATTCTTTTTCAGACAATGCCATGTGAAAAAAATTTGACCAACACAATGCCAAATGCAATAATTTCGGACAAGACCATGTGATCATTATTACACTACATTATTGTTGGACAATGCCATGTGATCCTTGGATTGGATTCTAACCATTGGATTCTTTTTCAGACAATGCCATGTGAAAAAAATTTGACCAACACAATGCCAAATGCAATAATTTAGGACAAGGCAATGTGATCATTATTACTTTGCATTGGATTACTTTGCATCATTGGATTCTTTTATATTGAATGATAAATGATTAAACAATTAGGAGACATTTATTTCTCTTGCATTAGATTCCTTTTTATAGTCACTATACTTGTTTCACAGAATCCAATATCATCAAATGACCAAAGTTCTTCAACCTTTTGGAAAAAAATACATGATGAATACAACTCCCAAAAACACAAGGATTTATCAGAACGCTCTATAAGGTCTCTTGACTCTCGTTACCGTCTCATGGAAACTCATTGTCGGAGATTTAATGGATGCTTGAAGCAAATCGAATATCGAAATCCTAGTGGGACACAAATCCAAGATAGGATGAGTACTTTGTGTTAAATTCAATCTCGGTTCATGTTATTTGCTTGTTTTATAGGTATACTTACAATTATATATTTTTTACTTTGTTTGTAGATTAAACAAGCCGAACGATTGTTTGAACAAGACCCAAAATATAAAGATGGCTTTATGTTCCAACATGTGTTCCGACTATTCAAAGAGTTTGAAAAATTTGATGATAATGTCTCCCAACCACGATCTCGTCGTCGGGAATTCGATACACTCAATGACTCTTCCGAGTCCGACGTTCCATATGATGGACAACCAACACCAGAGTCTCCGGGATTGTCGTCTTTTAGTCCTCAACAAAGTGACGATGGTGTTGGTGGAACATCCTCTCAACGTCCAATGGAAGCGAAGAAAGCAAAATTGAAGAAGAAAAATGAAGACCAATTTTGCAAGTATTTTAATACTCTAAATGCTAAAAGTGATAGTATTGTTGATTTGTTGCAGAAGGCCGAAGAATGTCAAAGTGTCCAACTTCAATTGCAGAAACAACAACTTGATTTGCAGAAAAAGAGGGATGAAGATAGAATTTTGATGATAGATTTGAATACCCTGACAAATCCCATGATCCGTCGACATTGGGAACAAAGACATGCACATTTTGCAAGAAAGAGAATTTGAGCAACAACAATCTCAAGCAACACCACCATCATCTAACACGGATCAATTTAGATTTCTCGACGACATCGGGCATGCCGGAGGAAATTTGAATTATTATTATGGTGACAATTAAGTCTATTAAATCTTCTATTTTATAATCCTTTTTAGTTATTATGTTCCTTATTAATTACCGTTGTTGTACTATGTGTGAGCTTTAAGATGAGTTTTTTAGTTTATCTTTATTTATTGATTTTAATTTTAGTGTTTGTACCGTTAATTTAAAGTGAGTTGAATGTTTATCCTTATTTTGTAATTTTAACTTGTTTGTTTGTAATATTTACTTAAGAGAATTTAAATACTAATTAATATTCTATCATAATAATTAATAAATTATTCAATTTTTCATTACACTAGTTAAAATTCTACCATGTTAATTACAATAATTAAGTTTAAAACATGTATAAAGATATTTTAATTCAATTCATAAAACTAATTAATCCAATTAACCAAATTGTAATTAAAAAGCCCAACCAAAATACGTCTAAATGGGCTAAAAATACAACCCAATTTTATTTTTAACATAATAAAAAAAAATTAAAAAAAATAAAGGAAAGATGAAGCGGGTGAACAGTGGAACGGTTGTCAAACCATTCCACAAAATTAGGCGGTGGGTTGGAGATGATTTTCCTCCACAGTTGCCGTTTCCGCCAGATATCCAGTGTGGGTTGGAAATGCTCTTACGGGGACAAACTACTATATATAATATCGTAAAAGTTATCCATAAAATTCATTTCCTTTATGCCTTGACCAACTTGATTTATACCTTTATGTTTACGGTGGTACTGTGATAACTTTAGTTGAAGAATCAACCAAACATTACAGAGTTCAAAAATACTTATTTCTTATTCTTTTTATTTGTTATTTTAGCTTTATTGGCGATTAATCAAATAAATAAAGTTTCAGATTTTTTATACATATTTTTTATTGTTACCTTCATTTAACTAGTACAATATAGGGAAAAGTTGTGAAATACGATGAGTTAGAACATAAAAAAACTTAAAATAAATACATTAATTAATGATAATTTATTTTAAACAAGGCTAATATTGGTAAAAAAAAAATTCTTAATTTATGTGTTGAAATACAAAACGACATTTAAAAAGCATAAGAGGGAGTACAAAATAAAAATAAAAATAAAAATGAACAAATATCATTTTATTTTATTTTCGTTTTTCCCGTTAATTACTAGATATGAAACTCCCCACTCGCGTGAACTTGTTTCACGTGCTTCTCATACTCATCTTCTTCATCTTCTTCTTCCAAGTCATTTTCCATGTCTTCATCCTCTTCACCTCCCCATCCGAAGCCCCCCACCGGCCTTGACATGGCAGGCGATTTTCGTGCTTCACTAACGATTTTCATAATCGTGTCGATACTTTGAAGTGAGAAGCTGGGCTTGTCTTTCTGATAATAAACCGCTTGATTTTCCTCTGTTAGTTCCTTAGGCAACTTCTTCAAAAACCACGGATGGCTCTTCATCTCCTTTATATTGATTCTCTGCATTTTTTCATTTTTTCTTTTCTTGCCCGTTAAAATCGAATAATGAGTTATTAAGCTGAATGTAATTTTATAAAAATTAATTACCTTGTGGGGATTGGCAGTGAATATGCGAGAGAGAAGGTGCCTGCAATCTTGAGAGATGTAAACGTAGTCCGGGATTTTGTACTCAGCAGCCATTATTCTCTGTATAATTTGATTATGAAATTATTATAGTTTTTTTTTTTCTTGTAGTGTTCATTGAGTAACAATATATATTGTTTTTTTTTTTTTTTTTTTCTTTTTTTCATATATGCTTACTGAAATTGTTTTTCTGAAATTCTTAGGGTCATCTGGATCTTCAAAAGGGTAAGTTCCCACTAGCATCACGTATAACGTCACTCCACAAGACCATACATCTGCCAACTTTTTTATTTTCAACAAAAAAATAATAATAATAAATTAATATAATAATTTATGGATTATATAAGTCATAAAACATAATATATATATAATATTTATTATATATGAATTATAATCACCTTGCCATCGTATTCTCGACGGGATAGGACTTCCGGTGCAATGTAGGCTGGCGTGCCAACAGTAGATTTTGGTTTCGAATGCAGAACTGAAGACTGAGATATATATATACATATATATATATATATATATATAATTGAATTGGTCTCAAGTATAGAATTTAATTTAAAATAAGTATAAAAAAAAAAAAGAATGTTGTAAATTTATAACTTAATAATATAAAAACCTTGGAGTAGCCAAAGTCGCAGATTTTGAGTCGTGGGGCCGGGCTTCCATCCAAAAGCGTGTTTTCCAATTTCAGATCTCTATGGCATATTTGCTTCACAAATTTATGCAAAATAAACACGTATCAGTGATAAAGAATGTGAAAAAATAAAACATAATTTAACATTCAATCTTGATCATAAACTATAAATTAAAACAATAAGCGTACCATGGCGTGGCAATAACAAACTCCAGAAATGAGCTGCTGAAAGAAGTACCTAGCCTGATAACCATTACATATATTTCATTATCATTCGAGATTAATTAAATTAAAAATTTAAAAAATAAATGAAATATATATATATATATTATTGGTAATTAAATTCACACCTCATCTTCACTAAATCTGCCTGCAGTACAGATTCGGTCAAATAGCTCTCCACCCGCTGCGTACTCCATCACAATTGCTAAATGTGTCGGTGTCAAAACCACCTTATCCATGATTTTCAAACACAACCGTATATAATAATTTCCAAAAATTACTATAATAAATATCCNAACCTCTTTGAAACGAATTATATTGGGATGGCGAAGTGATCTGTGGTTTATAATTTCCCTGGCTACGTTTTCATCAATCTGCGACGCAAGACAATAAGAAAATTAAACTCAATTTATAAGTACAAAACAAAATATGAAAAGGAATTAAAACTAACAATTAATATTGGTAACATTAAATAATTCGTAAAGTCAAATTGAATTATATATATACCTTGTGGCCACGCTCAATGTATTTCATGGCAACAAGTTCATTGGTTTCTTTGTGCCTTAAAAGCCTTGCTACACCAAAATTCCCAGCTCCCAAATCTTTTACCAGCTCGTACTTGTCCATTTTTCTCTAATATCTTGCTTCTTTTCAATTTGCTTTCTTATTTTGTATTATAACTTAATATCACGCTCAATATATCTTGCTTCTTACCAGCTCGTACTTGCTTTCATTGGTGTGTGTGTGAAAATATTATATATTACACATTAGTACAATAAGCCACCGACATTGTTCCCCGAGGTGTAGCACACATGTGGGCCTCGGGTAGTCCATCTATTTAATTTGTATATAAGTCAGTATTGTTTATATTTTAGTCGAGTGATTAAATACATACCAAAAAAAAAA